TAAAGCAGAAGGACATTGAGAGGCTAAACATTGTGCAAAGCTCCTTCTGTTTTGGGCAGAAATGGCTTCAGTGTCTTGTCAAAGAATAGATATGTCTCCAAAGAATGATTTTTTTGAAAAGCAAAGGAAAAAAAAAAAAAAAAAACAAAGCCAAGAAAAACAAGCTAATTATTTTGTAATTATGTATTTTGAGTGTCATTTGCCTTTGCATATTTGGGACAGAATTTGACTTATTTCTGTTTAATCATATTAACCTGATCATAATTTTAGTAACTTCTACTTGAATATATAGATTGTTTCCCGTCATTTCTCTGCAAGTTGAGGTGAATGCCCTAGCTGAATTACTGGTTGCAATGTTTAAATACTGCATTCATATCAAAACTCTGGTAACAGGTATCTTACAGTTCAGTGTTTCTGTTAGCTGTCTGTGCGGATTTCAGAAGTGGTTTGGCAAGCTGACAATTGTATATTGCTGTTCATAGTACTGTATATTATACTGTGAAGATTTTCTTCATCGATACAAAGATAGGTACCCTAGATTATATGAAAAATACAGATACATATACATGCATGTAAGTAAGCTGCTTGTTCCTTGAATCGGTGCTGCATAGATGTAGCAATGATCTTGTGGGATTTCCTTTTCTTTGGGCGACTGCAGGAGACAAATTTTGTTAAAGATCTTTTTCTTCACAGCAAGGTTTATAAAACAGAAAGAAAAGACAGTTTCAATGCTTCTCTTCTGTTACTCAATATCCACTGATGTCAAAGAGATTTTGACTCAGTCAAGAATGAAGGCTTTAGTTGCTACTTTCTAGATGGGATTGTGTTTTCATTGGGGTACTAAAAATATGTTCAAAACAGAGTCTTTCTCTGTTTGTTGCGTTAACTTGAATGGCCACTTGAGCTTATGTTTGATAAATAGATGGAAGCTGCGTTAAGCGGAGCCATGTGTAGAATCCATGATGAGTATGGGATTCAGAGAAGCTTAACTAAACTAGCACTACTAAGCATTGTTTTGCAGTTTAATATAATAGGAGAGTTCACTTATCTTCCTACAAAATCCATTCTACAGTACTTCAGCATTTAGTAATGCATGCAGAAATCTATATCTCTGGGAGCAGTTTCTTGGCACTGTTGCTAAACCTTTTTGCTAGATAAATGGTGAGTTGTGTTGTTATTTAACCTAATGTTCTTCTCTAAGTGCAGCACAGTTCACCCAGATACTTTATGAAGTCTTTGGGTCTATTGACTTCAGTGTGGGATTTGTCTGCATGTTTCCCTTCTGTTCTCTTAATGCTACCAAGGTCGCAAAGTGCCTCTTTCCTCTAGACAAGCTTGTACTCCACATGGATTCAGATTGTGAAGTCTTCTCCCCTTTATGGTAGGAAGGGACTGGTGTGATTCAGCAGAAATGAATTGCCAATGCAATTACATCTATCAAATGATTCATTTTCCAAATGTTAGTTTTAGGCAGCTTTCCCACTGGCAGAGGGCAAAGCCCAAGAAACTCTTACAGCAATCAAACGCTCTTAAAGTCTATATCAGGTGCTGTCCTGCTGCTACAGGACATCCATCTCCACAAGTCTGCTGCACAGCAAGCACGTAATACAATTGAGAAGTACTTGTGTATGGGCATGCAGGGTTACTGGCTCTCTTTAAGCCGCGCTGTGGCTTAGTCTGAGTTGCATTGTGAACAGCGTATGTTCTTCCCATGTTCCCAGTGGTACTGTGTTAGTCACAACCACCACATACTCAGCATTTTGCCTCCTAGCATCTCTCGTGATTCATTCGAGTTAAATTCTGCTTATGCTTTAATGCTTTTTAGATGGCCCTAAGTCATAATCCTCAAAAGAAAATGCACAAATTAGGCGCTTATGTCAACTTTAATGTAAATGTTAATGCAATGTAGGTTGATAGCTTCAGACAAAGTCTGGAACAGATGTGGTTTTCAGCAGGTGAAATAATGGTAGTTTTCACTTTCTACCTCAGTTGCGTACAATGCGTGCCTTTGTCAGTTTTTGTTTTGTCTAGGTTTTGGTCCTTTTTTTAGAAATTGCTGTTTTGTTTATCTGTTAAATGTCTAGAAAGCTTGCTTCTATGTAATTAATAAAATCATAGTGTGAGCAGTACTTCTCATTTCATTGCAGGGCTTCCTATTATGTTTATTGCTTCAAAATGAATAAGTACTAAACCATGGTAAACCATTTTAAATTAATTTTAGTAGTAAGGAATCACATCAACAGCAACCACACTGAAATGAGCTGTTTAAAAGAACACTGGTTTTCGTTTTTTGTATTTTTCTGGTCAGTTGGTTGCAAAAAGCCTGAAATTTGTTATTTGGAAGGGCTATGAGAAATAAAATTTAGTAGTATTTCAAACAAATGCTGAAAAATAGAGGCATAAGTCCAAAATCAGAGCTTACAGCTCAAAGAGAAATGCTGTTAACAAACATCAGTAACATCTGCTCTCTTATATTTTTTTTCTATCACTGTGAATTTTGCCTCACATTGATTCTGTTTGATGTCAAGAGATCTTTCAGAAATGCCACTAGCCTGTGACTGTTGCCTGCCCTTAGGAAATGGGCTTCCAGCATCTATAGAATACATACTGCCTGGGTCACACTGTCTGCATATCCGCATGTGGATGTTGGAAACACTACTTGCTGGCTTGTTTTAATTAATGCCACGAATCTCATAAAATCCAGGTAGCTTTTTGGTACCCAGCAAAGTTAACGACTTCCTTTTGAGCGAGGAGAACCTTCCTGTATTGCTTTGCTTAAATAAGAGTGCCCATAGTACTGAAAATTTCCCAACAGCATTATCCCTTGCTGCAGACCTTACAGTTCACAGGTGGACAACTTGACAAATGCTTCAGGAAAAGTTTTGTGCCTAGTGATAATAATGGAAAGATTACTAACAGCTTAATTGAGACTAGTGTTTCCAGCTTGGCTCCTAAACTAAATCATGCCATTTTTTGGGTTTGAACTTGTCTCTCATGGGATGGAAACAAAAAAAATCATTTTCTCCTCCCCCTTTTTTTTTTTTTTTTTTTTTTTTTTTTAAGAGCTGTTAGTTTTCCCGGTACGCGTTTGGTCAGTTTAGTCTTTTGAAGCCACAGCATTATTGCTTGTTTGTTCTTGTAGACTGTAGTGACTGTATGGTTGGCTTTTGTTCTTTGACAGACTCAATATCTTATTTCGGAGCATATTTTGCTAGATTTTTCTTAACAAATTCGTATGTATGCCAGTATGCTGATGAAGGTAGTGAATAGCTGATGTGGAAGAAAGGGGTAAGTAAATAAAACATTGGCATTAGCTGTGTGAATGCATATTTGAGAGCTTAACTTTTCACTGGGCAGGTCTCCACTCTGCTCTGGTAAGCTTCTTCTGGGGCTTCTGGTGAAGGCTTATCTGTAGCCTGCTTCACGGCTCTCAGCCCTGCACAGCCCTGGCTCACGGAGCTCGTGGTTGGCTTTTGGCTGTTAGGCGATGTTCTCATGTTCCTTGTTCACACCAACTTCGTTCCTTTTTCACTTGTGGATGATGTCAGCTTTTGGTGCTGTAATCGAAATGGACATCAGGCTTCAGTTCTTAGAACATTCTGGAAATCAGCAGGTACTTGGTCTGCACAGCAGTTGCCAGGCACGCTTGAAAGGAATTGGTGTTGCTGCAGCGTGTAGCCATACTTCTACATGCCTCTGAGCAGAGAAATCCTGCTTCCTTAATTAAGAAGTGATAATATCACTCTTCAGTAACGCATCTGAACCCACTTAACTACAAGGAGATTGGCTTAAAGATAAAAAATGTCCTTCAGCTTTGCAGTTTTGATCCCATGACTGTGGTGAATATCTTAACAGACTTTTTGCTTCCTTATATCCGAATGATTTTCAGTTGTTTTAGTGTCAATCAATGTCACAACTTTTGCTCTGAATCAGTTTGAAGTGCACTGGTTTTACTGTTCTTATGCATAGCTAATAAAGAATTAATTGCCTTAACTCTGGCTCCTGTTAAGGCACTGAGAATTGTTTGTGAACATTCAAGGGGAAAGTTTTGATTTAAGCTGTTATCCTGTTACTTAATAAAGTTCCAGATCTGTGACTTGAATTCATTCTAATTAAAACAAGAGCTGTGTCATGTCAGAAATAGTACCTAGTATCAAATGTATGGGATATAAAATACTACTCAGTGATACAGATTCTCTCTTGTAGTTGGTGATACAGTTCATTAGTTTAGAATTTGCACGTTTTTCCTTAGTTTGGGGAAAAAAATATTTCTACATTTTTGATAAAAACATTGTATTTCTAATGTTAATATTCTATCCTAAATCATTAGAATATTCTAAACTGGAAGCAAAATGTATTTGCTAACAATAAAGTCATGATGTCAACATATTATATGTGCAGTGGGAAAAATAAGATAGCAGCACAGTGATGCGAAAATCATCAAAAGAAAAATAATCTATTATTTAGGGCATATAATGAAAAATTCTAACCTTCTGAATCAGTTACTACAAGCTGACTAATTCTGTTTTCTTATGGTAAGATTAAGATTTCATTTCTATTTTCACTGTGATACATTTTTCAGAAATAATTTCCTTAGTCCCTTTAACGTGTTGGTTATTTGTCAAATCCCAACAAAATGTAATTGGAAGTGCAAGATGTGGTTAGTGCTTTAAATAAAAGGATGCAGGGTATATTGATGTTGAGAAGCAGGAGCAGCAAACTTCCTTAGAGCAACAAATTGAAGGGGAGGAGTTGGAATGCTGATGGTGGATAAAGTCAGTTAAATGAGGAATGTACCCAAGAGAAGTAATGAGGTATCTTTCATGTAAATGGGAAGCTGAAAAAAACATACTGTTTCCATCTAGCCCCAGTAACAACTTCAGACAGATGCATATATGAACATAATTGGTATTGTTAATGCTTTTCACATAGGTATTATTATGGGTTAATTAACAATTGAATAACCTATTCAGTGCTTCTTTTATTTTGCTTTTCTGTAGACAAAACATGGATGCACACTCCTGAAGCCTTATCAAAGCATTATATTCCCTATAATGCAAAGGTAAGAATATATGAAGTTATTTTCTCTTCTTACCTTTAAAACACAGTGCATTCTATCTTGCTTTTCATTTAAAAACTGCAGAGACATGGAATAGCCAAATAGCAATGAAAAACTTAGTAAGTAAAAGTCTATTTTGCAGCTGAAATTGCTCTTTTTCTTAAATAATAGTCAGATGATTCTGCTTCTGTCCTAGATGTTTGAGTTTGTAGAAAGCAAACTAGTGTTTCTCTTCTGCTTGATCCTCTGTTTCCTTTTAGTGGATGCCAAATGGATGGAAATTCTGACTGCAAAGGAATTTAATATCAAACTGCTTTCTTACACTGTGTAAAAATTAAAATTAATAGCACAAGATTTTTTTTGAACAATAGCAAAGACACTGAGTAACAATCCTATCTGCTGGGTACATTGAAGTGTCAAATGCTTTCAGAATATGGTAGAATAATAATGTGATTTTTGCGCAGTAAAATCACAAGTCTTATTCTAATCTTCTTTTATATCAGCTTCACTGAAGTTCTGTAATGGTATTTTAATTAGCCTAATGACATTTGTTCACAGGAAATGCATTTTTCCAAAATCATTTTAAAATGTGGTTTGCCAAAAGGAGATGGAAATATGTGCTATCCTTTATAACAAGGGCAAAGTGAGTTATTACTTGTCATTTTACTGGGAGTATATTGCAGTAGGATTGTACCATGATCTGTTCTGGATAAAGTTCTCTATTATCAATTATCCTGTAATTGTTTGGTGTTTTAAAATTTTTTTAACATAAAATGGAGAACAACTTCACAGAGCAGAACCTAGTTTCCTATACTGGTATTCCCCACTGTTGTTTATGCAATTTATTTTTTTTTTTGGTGTACCATTATCACCCAGTGAGCAAACATCCATAGTGGAAAGCTGAATCTCATTCTGGTAGTTGCCAGGTGAGCATGTTTTTATTCAGTGTGCTCTCGACCTGAGTTGTTGACCAAAGAGTGTATTACCAGATGTATCACCATTTAGCTGGATTGCCTTGCCAGATAGCTTGGCTTTTATGTTACACTTTTTGAGAGCAAGGAATACATGCCAGGGGTAGCGGACCATCTGTTTTAAGAGCAAGTTGAAACTACAAATTCTACTAATGCACTAGAGAAGTTGCTTCATTTGTGGTCTTCTTTTATTAGGAAGAGTTCTCTCTCACCTTCCTTGTCTTGTTCCCATTCTTAATAGAATGTTATAAATAGGAGTCATTACAAGTATGCAGAAGAAAAATTTAGAATAAAGATGATAGTGATGGAGTGATGCTAACTATAGAAAGTAGTGTCAATAACTGTCCTGGCAGAGGAAAAGGAATGGGAAATTGCCTTTCAAATGAAGTCCACTGTATCTAGGTTAATAAGGGCCCCGATGTCTTCTGGGTTTGATGTTTGGAACTCATGGGGAGTCCGGTGCTGTTGCCTCTGAGTTCTGTTAGGATGCTTGTGGAGAGCTCTAATGTACTACATGGTATTTTTTTTTTTTAAAGGTGACTTGATCAGTTTGTTTTAAATGAGGTTTACACCTCAATCCTCAAGCACAGGTGTGTTTTTTTGTCAAATTTTGCGATATCTTTTTGCTTAAGAGAATTCAATGTTTATATTAATATATCGTTTGAGTTCTGTAACGATTTTTTTTAACTAGTATGTTCACCTGATTGCATACCGTGAAACTAGATCATGAAATAATGATTAAAAACTCAGGCAGCATCTATAAAGCAAAATGGAGGACACATGATAGGTTTTTCTTTTTGTTTTTACAAATGTTGGTTGCTGTGTTTTCCTGTCCAATTCTATAACACTGTATCCAGACAGCTTTTTTATTTATTGGGTAGAAATGACAGTGCTTTTCCACCTGATTTCTTTCAGAAGGTAATTATGTGAGTGAAGAATAATAATGATGACAAGTTCAGAAAATCAAATTTAGTTGATGAAAAGCAATACCGGAGGTGTTCTTTTTTCCGTGGGCAAGAGAGCTTTGTTCTGCTGCGTAGGTTCTTGAATACAAATTACATAGGAGGAAAAATCGTGTTTTCTGTTCTTTATTAGATACAAAAAGCTGACACTAATCTTCTGAGATTATCAGAAAACAATACTAAGAAAGAAAAATCTAGAAAAGGTCCGGTTTTGTTTCTTAACTTGATTCCTTGGACATTTTCCTAAGAATTAGTGAAATCTTCTTGATAAAAATGCGGTCCATGTGTTAACTGCTGACTTAAGAAGAACAATTCTAATCAAGGCAACTGAATGTAAAAAACCACTTGCAGTACTACAGAATTGTTCCCTTCTGTACAAATTGGAGAAGTTTCCAGGGTTGTTTCTTCTGCAAATAAAATCCAGGATGCACAGGTTTCATAAGAAACGCCCTTAAACAGGAAGTGAGTCCTGAATCTTGCTGTTTTTCTGAGCATACCTATTTCTCGTGGCATTTGTTACACAGAAATGTCCTGCTTTCCAGGGTGGTTTGTATACAGTAGGAATTAATGAGGGATTTGGAGTGTTAAGTTCATTAAGGGTGTTTGAATGGCTTATCTATTAGTATGGAGGTGTAACGTGGGCCTACTGAAGTGACAATTGTGCAATCCGTTGCTTTGTGAGCTCCTATTGTTTATAAATATAACGCTTTGAAAATGTACTGGTTACACAGCTTTTTTTTTTTATCTTTCTAAAAATTCATTTATGATCTTGGTAGTAACAGCCCCATTGTAAAATATGGAAGCATAGGTCTCGCTTAGGTGCAACAACACAGGAGTTTTCACCTAATAAAAGCTATTTTTATGAAGGCATGCAGTTTTATAACTCAAACTGAAATCTCAATTTTTTTTTCTGTAATGCTCCTAAATAAGAACAGATGTTTGCATTATTTTCTGTACTGTGGAGGGGAAAAAAAAAAAAAAGAGCTCTTCTGCCCTGTTAATTCTCTTTTCTTTTGGCCAGTTTTTTTTGGTCTATAATAAAGTGTGATCAAAGTGAACCTGATGCAACCTTAAAAAAAAAAAATATATATGGACTGACAGTTCACATAACTGATACTGCCCTGAAGGATGTGTTTCTGCTAAGCCACTGCTCTAAACAACAAGAATTTTACTGTATCTCGCTGTAGTAAATTACATACATTCTTCTAAGGTTCCCCTTACGGTCACTTGGCTATTTTTTTGTTTGCATCAGATTTCTACATGCACATCTATCCATTTTGTGAATTAGACGTTCTGCTTTGCAAGTCTAGTGTTTATGCTGGCTTCTAGCAGCCTACAGAGCCAGTAGCTTTGACATTACAAGACCTGGAAAGCTGCTATTTTGTGTAGCAATATGGCCTGTTAAATCCTTTGGAGTTTATTTTAACAAGAGATAAGATGGCTTCCTAGTATCTAGGCTTCTGTTCTCCTAGTGCTTACTTGATGGCTTATTTTAAAACATGACATGTTGTTATGGATGTGACATTAGTATGGCTAATCTTCCCTTGTAGGAGCATCTGGAAAATTAGTGTATCTGTCCAGCCTGCTGAAAAAGTTAGCCCTGTTGCTAATTAACCAAACCTAAGTGGATTTGAGATCTCATGACCGCTGCAGACCTCTCTCCAAATGTGTAGACATCCCTTTATGTAAGGAATGTACCTTTGTTCTGGTGTGTGCCCCTTGGGTGGAGCCCCTCTGTGCATCGGTGCTGTAATAGAGTGCCTGCTTCTTTCTGTTATATCAGCTTTAAGGAGTGTTATTTGAGCTGTGGTTTGTCTGATGCCAGATATACAAATGATTTCAGCTGAAGTTGAAGTCTGAGTCTTAAAAGATTTGAAGAGATTTTACGAGCAAAACATGTGCAGTTTCATAAATGATCTTTCAATTGCTGAATATGTATTTTGGATCAATACTGCAACTGTACCATAGTGCATTGGTTGCAAACACCCTATCTGGCAGTACCTACTGCTATTGTTCCTTCTTACAGGAACAATACAACAAACAGAACGTGATATACCTAGTTAGTAATTTCTCAAACTTTTTCATTAATCATTCAGAAATAGCAGATAATATTTTTCCGGAGAAAGAATTCTTTGTGAAAAGTACATTTTTCTTAAAGTGTGCTGCTGTGCAGTAAAGTACCAGGCAGGGCTCTTGGTATTCTGCCTTTAATATCTGTATCATTTTGTACTCTGTTATCAAAGGCATATTGTCATGACATAAACTGCTCTCCTACTACCAAGTGATGGAGCTGTACCAGCAAATTCTCCTTTTTCCCTCAGCAAGCACATTGCAGAATGATGCTGTGTCAGTAAAAATAATTATGAAAGAATATCAAAAAAGACTACTTAAATTTATATGGTGAAATTAGATCTAGTAAAATACTCCATACAGAACAGAAAAGTGTTGCAAATTAGAAACTAATGAAATATAAGAGGGCATTATAGGAAGTGATTTATTTTTCCTGCATTCAATTTGTTATAATTAACAAGTGAATTTAAATTAACTTTCACTAGTCTCAAAATGCCTTGGATATAATCATAATAAATGTGTTTAACCACAAGAATAATGAGTATTATGAAAATATTCAAATGAAATATGAAAACAGCAAACAATTATTTTAAAATGTGAATTTGAATTACTTAGTTATTTCTGATACGTTGCAGTCATTGAACTTAGGGCTTATTATTCCAGGGCTGGAATAAACATGTAAATAAAGCATCTGAAGACTGAAGGGGATATTCTCAGAAGACTTCTCTGCCTTTGGAAAAGGAATCTGTTTCATTTTACTTACAAGTTTACACTCTTGAGAGAATGGTAGGAGATGAACATGCTATATCCACAAATACTCTACAGAAGGGACGACTGTGAGGCAGGAGGGTTGTATGTAATTCTGTTGTTGTATGTGAGGGTTGTGATTCTGTGAGACTTCCAGCAGCAAAAAGCTTCATCTCTTCTAGGTATCTTCGCAAGGGGAGTTGCCTGTAAGTATCTAGCACTGAATGATAGAGGGCTTTTGGAATTCTGTGGT